GGGGGCGGGCCCGGCGGGCTGGGGGCGGGGCGCGGCGCGGCGCTGCCAGACCCGATACAGCGCCCCCCTCCAAGCTGCGGCTTTCGTGCTTCGGCGGGAGGGGGCTGGGGCTCGGGGACCCGAAGCTGAGGACCGGGGTTTGGGGGCTCTCGCCAGTAGGCGTATTGGGACAGACACCCTCTTGGGTCCTGCACGCTCTAGGACAACCGCTCCTTCCGCTGACAGAGCTATGCCTTCCCTCCGCTCTGTTTTAGCTTGAAGCGGGCTGGGCAGGACTCGGGGGCTCCAATTTACAGGTGATGAAACTGAGGAAGGGGAGGTACGCTTCTGGGGAGCTAGCGCCTGCTGCGTGCCTCCCGCGTTGCGCCTTCCCAGTCTTCCCAAGACCTGCCTTGCAGGAAGTGTTCGCTTATTACTCGCCCCATGCCCACCCCCTCCACCCCTCTACGTTTTGATTTGGGAGCCCAAGAGAATCCCCCGCCGCACCTCGAGCCAGTTGTGGACCCAGCGCACTCCTGACGGCGACAAGTGTCCGAAAGCGACGAGTTGCTAGCCAATCTCTGGGATCCCCTCTCCAAGGGGCCCGTGGGTGCCCGCCTGGGATTGGGGAGCGCTGCCAGCTGCGCGGCCCGGAAGGGGGTAACCGCTGGGTCTTTGATCTTCCTTGGTTTCCGCTCCCCGCTGCAGTTCGCCAGACCCAAAGGCTTGTTTGTTTTGTCTGGGGAGGTCTCTGCAGAAGGGAGGGCGACATCAAGGGGTTCCACCCCACCTTTGTGGTTCTCAGAGAGAATGCCTGCTCTGCTCGCGGGCCTGTTGTTAAAGCTCATCTTGATACCCGGCAGCCTGGGTGTGGAAAAAGGAAAGCCTGCACTAGGAGTGAGGAGACCAGCTTTGCCCCTTGGACTGAATTCTCTGCGGAGCCTCGGTTTTAGGATCTGTAAAATGGAGGCTCAATGCTGCCCTTTTTGCTCACTCCTTAGAGTGGCACTGTCCAATACAAAGATAATGTGAGCCACAAACGTAATTCTAAATTTTCTAGCCACATTTACAAAAAGTGAAACAGATAAAATTAATTTGAATAACATTTTATTTAATCCAATATATCAAAAATATTATTTCAACATATAATGAGAGATGTTACGTTCTTTGTTTTGCACTGTTTGAAATCCAGTGTGAATTTTATACTCAGAGTACATCTCAACCCAGACTCGCCATATTGCACGTGAGCAAGAGCCGCATGTGGCTAGTGGCTGCTGTATTGGACATCACAGCTCTGCAGCATCTATATGTCTCAAAAGGACATTGGGAGCTGCATGGGCCTCCAGAGTCATAAATATCTTCATCCAACAGGGTATTATTTCCATCCTCCAAACTTTCTTTTTGACACACACTTTTTGATGGAAAGGAAGGCTAATCTTATAAGCAAGTACATTAACACTGTTAGCGGGTGGTTTCATTTGAGGAGTGCTGGGACCCACCAAACTACTATTGTCCATTTTATACTGCACTTCTTTATCCAGTACCTATTATACTCATATACCAGCCATTGTCTTAAGTCATGTAGAGACCTCACAACCACTCACTGATGCAGGGTTGTATTTTTTCTACAAAGGAGGGAACATACTAGGCTCAGAGAGGTGAAGTCACTTGCCCAAGGTCACACAGCAGCCAGTGACCTGGTTAGGAACTGAACTCACGCCTGTTGATCCCCTTGCCCTGATATTTTTCACTAAGTCAGGTTGTCCTAAAACAGTCCACACTTCACATTCCACCATAGAGAGGTTCCCAGTCTAGAAACAAATACTGACCCAGTGCCAGTTGTGTGACAAGCACTGTTTTAGGCACTTAAGATACATCAGTGAACAAAACAGACAATCCCACTCCTGATGGAGCGCACTCTGCTGAAAGAAACGATGGATGTAATACACAGGCAAATAGTGGGGTCAATTAGAAGGCAACACCAGCTACAGCAGTGGTTCTCAACCCAGGGCAATTTGCCCACCCTGGGGACATTTGGCAACGTTTGAAGGCATCTAGCAAGAAGAGGCCAGGGTTGCTGCTAAACATCCTACAGTACACAGGACAGCTCCCAAACCAAGAAATTATCCAGCCCCAGATGTCACTAGTGCCAAAGTGTGAACCCCTGAGCTATAGGAACAGGAACAAGCAGGAACCGGGTGACAAGTTCAGGGGTGGGACGGGGGAGGGGGTCTGAGTGTCTGAATCAGAGTGGGAGCCTTCCTGCAGACCCCTCCGAAGGCAATGGCATTGGGCTGGGGATGCTGTTTGTCTCTCTCGCCCCCACACCCCCCTCACCCCCACTCCCAGTGCCAGGCTGCATCCAAATCAAAGGAGAACTCCTGGTGTTCTTTCTCACAGCGCTCAGAAAGTTGGTTACTTCCTTAAACCAGTCATGGCTTTCTTCTTTCCTGAGAAAAAAGTATCCCCCCTACCCCTTGGGAATTTCTTGCTACAGTTCAAAAAGAGATAAAAGCAACAACTAAAACTCTGCAGTTACCAGTTTGAGTCTTGGGGGAAGTAAATCCCAAATGTCCAGCCCAGACACAAAGGTTCCCCCCGCCCCCCATCTTCAGCCTGGCCCTGCCCAGCCCAGCAGGCGCCTGGAACTGCTGCTATTGGAATCAGGACACCCCCCCACACACCCTCCCCCCCACACACACACCCTCCCCCCCCACACACACACACACACCAACCTGGCCCTGGGGCAAGAAACTAGAGAGGCGGGCCTTGTGGTGAAGCCTTAGCCTGTCCAGGGCTCTGAGGAGGGGCTCCCCAGAGGCCTCCAGTCCACTGTCCACCTGGGGTGGCTATTCCGTCTCCACCGGCTTCCCACTCCATGCCTCACTGTCTTTTTATGTGTTTTAATAATTTATCTGGCCCATTTCTTGGGCTGTATACTTACAGTGACACATCTTTTTCTTTGAAGATTTCCCATCCTTTGGGGGAGGAGAATGGGGAAGGAAGGCAAGGAGGAGATAAGAGAGAGAGATTATAACAGAAACGGGTTTCATGGGGCTTGAGATTTAACAAGGCTGGTTTAGGTGAAATCTGTCAAGCGCGGAGCTGGGAGGTTTGGGGGGAAAAACACACTACATTACCCTGGTTGGCCACCCCCATGCTTATATCCAGGTTAAACCATCTGACTTGCCCCCTTTCAAATGCCACTTCCTAGAGGAAGCCCTCCTTGACCTTCCAACCTGAGGAGCTCTAACCATTCTGAATAGCCAAGGTCCCCTCCCCTCTTTCTCCACTTGGCACGCCTTACTTTTTAATGATGGAGCTCAACTTCGCTCCTGGAGTCTGGGCTCCTTGGGGGAAGTCTTGATCTGTAGATGCAGTACCCAGCACTGCCCATAGGAGGTGTTCTGTATAGAGCAAAAGGAAGCCACCCAGCCCCACCACTGCCCTGGGGTATGCTGTGGTCGACAGGAGGGCTGCTCAGAATACGATCTGGGATACACTGAAGAAAGAATTAATACCCAAGTCTCTGGTGGTTCCTCCTAGGTCCCTGGAGTTGCTTCATCCCACACTCCTCTGGGTGAGTTCGGGCATTGCTAAGTGGCCTGGAAACCTGATTTGGATGAGGAGGAAAGAGTTACATTGTCCTACATGAGGAAGTCACGGGGATTTTGGAGATGGCAACCAGGACAGGGAAGAAAAGGGTCCCAAGGGAAACGGAGTATGAGACAAGAGTGATAAATCAGGGCTCAGAGGGCATATGCAGTGAGGCGGGGTGGGGAGAGGCAATTAATTTTCAGGACAATGATGACTAGTGTGCAATTGGCAGTTGTCAACAGCTCAGCTCTGTGCTGGAATCACCCTCCATGACTCCAAACCTAACCACACCTCTGGGTTAGAGGCACAGGACAGAATGAGAGAATCAGAACAACAGATCAACACAGGCCACAGACAGCCTTGAGTGTAATGTTCAGCAGAAGGAGAAGATAGGAGCCAGAGGCAGCCAGGAGGAGCGCCGGGCCGGGGCAGCCATCCTCGGAGATGATGTGGCGGGAGGCTGGGCTTCCCCCAGATGAAGGGCGGAGGTCCCCAAGCATCTCTAGCAAGCTCCCAGATGAGACTGTAGACCCCGCTCGGAGGCTCCAGAAAGTTCAGTTCAGCTTTCTCAGCAGCTGCTAGGGTTGTATAACTTGCCTCTTCATTGATTAAGTAGCAGTACTGGGGAGAAGGAAGGACAGAAGTTGGGGAGGAGGGACCCAAGAAGTAAAGGTGTTTCTCTTTTATTAATGAAGTCATTCAGCAAAGATTTGTTGAGGGGCTAATCTATACCAGCTCTTATGTGATCTTGGTCTCTTGAAGAGACAAAAGTCAGCCAGTAAAATATGTGTGTGTCTGTGGGGGCAGAAATCAAATGGAAAGAGGAAGGCCTACCAGGGAGGGGCTGCAATTTTAAGTAGAAGGGTCCAAGAGAGTAGCCTTTGGGCAAAGACTTGAAAATAAGGAAGGGAAGCAAAAGAATGCCAGGACGAAGTGAGTCCAGGCAGAGGGAACGGCAAGTGCAAAGGCCCTGAGGTAGGGACATGTGTAAATATTTAGGGGACAAGGAGGCCAGTGGCTCTGAAGCAGAGGGAGAGAGAGGGGATTTCAAGGAGGAGGAGGTGATGAGATCGGAAGGTGACAAGGTTGATGGTGGGCCTTGGCAAGGGCTTCAGCTTTACCCGAGGGAGACGGGAGCACTTAGAGTAACGCCCCTAGAGTGACTGGGCTGCTACGTTGAGAACATGGCAGCCGCAGACCAGGCAGAAGCAAAGGCATGATGGGTGAAGAGGTGACTGCAGCAT